AGTTTAAAGCCTTCTTGATGAGCCCTGCCTGCTGCTTCCTCTAATTACATAGGGCACAGCTCTCAAAAGTACAGCACTATGTTCTTAGAATGTGTAAATAAATTAGTAACAAGGGTGGGTTTGTTTTTTTTTCCTTTCCATACAAACTACAGTGTGTCAGGAGTAGTTGTGTACAACTGACTGCTATTGCCTGGCAATAAAATGTACATGAATATTTTCTACCTCCAGTGTTTGCTCCAGAATTCAATTTTAGTATTAATTGATTCATCATTGAATGACTTCTAGTAACCATAGCATCTGAATCATCTTATAGCCATGGTAACCTTCCACCCATCCTTGGAAAGTCATACTGCTGAAAAAAATCTGATGTCTGCCTTGCTTGCAAAAACAAAAAAAAACCTGGCTAATACTGTACTAAGACATAGAGCGATGAATACTTTGCTATTGTAGCAGGTCAGTTAAAGCGAGGTTGTGTGGTTCCATACAGAAAAGCGTTCAGCAAAGGCAGGGTCTTTTGTTCCAGGTCAACCGTTTGTAAATCCTGACGGAACACCGGCAATATACAATCCTCCCAGCGGCCAGCAGACGATGAGGAGCCAGATGGTGGGACAGTCTCAGCAGCAGCCTTCATCCCAACAGCCTCAGCAGGTTCAACAGCCACAGCAGCAAATGGCAAGTCACCTTGTCACACAGGTAGGTGTGGAAATAGAGGAGAAGCTCTTGGGGACACAAAGGATGACCTGAAGGGTAGGAGGGAAGGATGCAGCTAGACAAAATGTCAGGAAGTTCTTTTCTTTTGAAACCAATGGGGCCTGCGATCTGTATTTTCAACGTGAATGAAATGGATGGAGAAGGAAGATTGCTTTTTCAATTCCATCTAAAGGATGGTTTCATTTTGAAAAGGACTGTTAAGCCAGATGGTGTATATCTACATACATTTATTTTGCAAAAAATCACCTGTAAGTGAAAGCTGGAGCATTCCTTCTCAAACTAGTGCAGTCTGTAATTCTCTCCAAAGAGGTGGGGACATTTCTCTGTCTCTTTTGACAGCAGTTCTCCTGCCTGCGCCCCCGGCCATGACCCTGCTCCCAGCTGGAAGCTCTGGAGCCTCGTCAGGAGGGGGGAAGAGCAGCGTAGTCTGGGCACGGTTCCACCGTACATCAGCTCTCTGGCCCCTGGGCCAGCTGTGGCATGTGGCCAGACGTGGCTGAGCATGGGCAGCAGCGTTTGGGTCTGGTTCCAGCTGAATTTTGTGGATAGTGTGGTCCCGGAGCAGGCAGAGGAAACTACTCAAGCCAGAAACCTACGTCCTGCTTACTCACAGAGCAGCCAAGATCTACTATGGTTCTTCTGTGGGTTTATAATTTGGCAGAGTTTCATCCGAGGTTACCCAGAAATACAATGTTTAAATTCAGTGAAGTTGCTTTGATTTTTACTGGGATTTAGGGGTTTGTGACTCTTATTGCTTGATTTGGTCTTAGCAGTTTTAGAATATAGAGGTAGTAAAAAACCTATGTAAGACTCAAGTTAAATGAGAGATTAAAACAAGAGGAATAGTAAAGCTATTCCAAGGTAATAATGCTCTAGAAAATTCTTTCACTTAGATAAACATCTGCTCCAAGCTGACAGGCCCGCCTCTGTTGTTAATTCACAGCCTGTTCTTTGTAAATTGTTTTTTTTTTAGCTATTGTGTTCTGCCAAAGCAGCTTTAAAATCATTATTCCTCTGCCTATGACACACACGGAGTTAAATCAGTCATTATCAGCAGAATTCAAATATACTCTTACACCGTGCTGCTCTTCCATTTTATCTCTGCAAATTAAATGTAGAATCATAATTTGGCTTTGCCTTACATCAGTAATAAGAAGGTGTAGCTGTGGCTTTATTTAATCTATCAGTCATCAAATATATGAAGGTAGACAGGAAAATCTGTAAGAAAGGGTTGTTTGGTATAAGGCTGACATGAAGACTAAAATTGCAGTACCTGGCCTCTTGTATTTGGGCTGGCAGTAAGTCACCTGCATTTTCAGAGCTGTGTTTGTGATCTTTGTTCTCAGTAAGGGAGGTGGTGGTTGTTATCTGTCTCTAATAGGCTGTATTTATCATCTTTCCCTGTGTTTATTTTGCAGCCTGTTCAGGCGATGCAGCCATCTTCTCAGTCAGTCCAATATCCAGCAGTTTCTTATCCTCCCCAGCATCTCCTGCCTGTCTCTCCAACGCAGCAGTTTTCTGTGGTACTAAAGATTTTTTATTTTTTTTATCTTTTTTTCTTCTTTCCTTGAAGTTGGGTGCGTGAGCATGAGTATGCCCGAGAGCCTCTGGGGAGCGTTGCAAGTGGCATTGCATGTGAGAGCCTCATTTAAATCCTCCTTTGCATTTGAGATTGGGTTATCCCCCTCTTAGGTCTGCAAATAATGTAGAAGAGACCTCTAGAAATTGTAATTTTTTAAATTTTATATTATTTTATCAATATCCTAAATCCACTACCTGGATTTATTCCCTGCTGATCCCAAAGCCGACTAGCACTGAACCAGCTGCAGGTGTGGTATGCTCTGCATCATGACAAAGCACCATTGGACATGTGTAATAAAAATAAATAGAGTGCCCTTCTGGAGTCTGAATCTGGCTTGATGCTTACAGAGTTAAGATTATACTGTTGTAAAATGAAGCTGACAGTTTAAGAGGCACTACAAGATTTTTTTGGGGGGGGGGTTATTTTTCTCTCTTGCTCTGGTAATCTTGTTTGTGACTGATTTTTTTTTCCCAAGGTAGAGATGTCACGTAGTTATAGTAAGAGATGGAAACAAAGCTGAATGGATCCTTGCAACTAGAATAATGGCGTTAATGCCTGGTAGATGAGTGGTATTATTTAAAGGGCAATAAAAAAATGTTCTATGCTGAACAAAAGTTGCTTATCTCAGTGCTAAGTCTCTTGCAAAGTGTCTTGCAGGCATCTCAGGTTGTTCTAGTGATAGTTTTAGGAAGGCTGATGCTTTTAGTGGCCATTTTAATAGTGAAACTTCACCTGAATTAGTGTCTTCAATGTACATTGCATTATACACACAATGTATAAATTATAGGGTTTTGAAGCTCTTGGTGCAAATCCAGAGATATTCCAGGCTCAGGGAAGTTTCTCATAGAAACTGCTTGTGGTAATTCGCCATCCAGGTAACAGATATCCTGGTGTTTTAAATAAACAAATTTAGACAGTCAGCTTATGTACCTGAATATGGATGTGGGATGATGGTAAAGTTAATCTTAAAATCTGCCAGGAGGGTTTAAAATGTTGGCCAATGGTGTCTGCTCTCAGGGTGGGAGGGTGAGTCTCTGGCAGTGATTTCCACAAACAAACTTTTTTTTCTCCCCTATTTTGAATTTTCCTGCCAGTAAATACGTTGTGCAGGATGGTTTTGGAGAATGAATGCCACAGGGATGCGAACAAAATCGAAAAGGCTCCTTTTACAAAGAAAATAGCATGGATGTTCTAAGTGAAAAGCATTGTTATAGTGTTTATTCCCTGGCTGTGAGGGCTATAAGGAAGGGACCGTAATCTGCATATTGGCACACGGTGGAGTTTTATGGTGGATTTATTGCCACATAGAGTACATTTTAATGCGGAGTATTTAAAAGTCTTATGATATGGGCACAAATGAAGATGCATAGAACCACATTTGTAAATCTTCAACCTTCACAGAATAAACTTGAGAGTGTTGATTAGTATGGATCTTTTTGCAAGACTGAACAGATACTGTCTAGAATCCTTGTATCATTACCAGCGTGTAATGAGACTTAGGTCTATTGACTTTATTTGGTACATTCATTCTGCCATAGATTTTTTTCCCCCCTCCAGTCAAATAAAGTACTTGTTTCTTTCCAACACTGAATAAAAAGCCTTGAAATAGCAACTGAAGGCTTAGCGCTTTTTTTTTTTTTTTTTTTACCTTCTCTGTGTTTACAACCCTGGATTTTTCAAAACAGTCCAAAAAGGAAAAGGTCTGCACCTGAATCTTCCTGAATTCCTCTTGAGATCATTTTGACACAGGTGAAATTACCAGCATGTGTTTGGCTGAGGAATTCTGTGTTTGAGAGAAGAGGTATTCATAACATTATATTCCTGCCCTTTATATTTAAATGTCTTTTGAACACTTTAAAGTTCGCTTGTCTTTTTGGAATAAAAAGATGGGGGAAGGGTAAAAGCCAAAACGATTGGCTTCTGTACCCAGCGATGCTGTTCACCTTGCAGTTTGGAAGTCTTTGTCAAAGCATTTATATCGATTTTCATGTTAATTGCTTCCATTTTTTTAAATATCCATGCAAAGTTTGGCATGCTTTTGAGCTGAGTGATTCCTTTCCCTCTCCTGTTCCGTTGGAACACTGTTTTATTTTGCTAATTTGCGTGTCTGCCGCAGGCATCATGTCTACATCATTTCCTATCACCTTCTGCCCTGCAGCGAGATGACATGACAGCCCAGTTTAACCAGATGAGTTTAAGTCGTCAGTCATCAGGAGACAACCCTGATTCGCCTTCCGGACCTGTCTACCCGTCGCCTCTGCTGCAGCAGCCTGCCCAGCAGCCGGGTTACATTATGGCTTCCCCAAGTCAGCAGCTTCCCCCGGGAGGTTTTACAGGTTCAGGTCCACCAGTATCCCAGCAAGTGCTGCAGCCACCGCCGCCACCGCCCCAGGGCTTCGTGCAACAACCGCCACCGCCTGCTCAGGTAGGCAAAACCTTTGCTACCAGTTTGGCTTGGTGCGCGTTATAACATCATAGAGAATATTAAAAAAAAAAAAAAAATCAGACTCTAGATATTTTTTTTTTTTCTGCTGGTAAAAAGCTTAGCAGATTTTTTTTAGGCAGCAGGAAACTTGAAAAGCCTCTGTCGTTTCCTGGGTTTCAGCAATTCCTTCCCTATCCTCAAACCATTTTCTGAATGTATGTTCATACTCCAGGACACTTCTGCACATGAATATGAAGGAGGAGGGTGAGTAAATATCCGTAGTCCTTTTTCCCTGTCTATATACCAAAAGAGCAACACGCATATCAGCCCAGGTAGTCGTTAATCATATTTAATTGACTTGAACATGTGAGATGTCACAGATCAGTAACTTTAACTGTCTTCCTGAAGACTGATTATGTTTTACTGTTCACTACCAAACATCCCTACTTGTCTCCTGGGTGCCTTTACAGAATATTGAAAGTGATTACTGTCAAGAAGTAAAATGCACAGATGACTTTCTGGCCCATTTTCGAGGCATACACTTTAAAAAGCCAAATTTCTTTATCCAGTTATAGGTAACTTCATTTAAACTCTACTTTAAAATGGTATTAATAGTATTTACCTTATTTTCATTTTATCCTCTGGAAGAAAATATATAAAAAAATAAAGTAAAAAAAATTCACAATTCTTTTAATGTATAAGTAGTGTTAACCGTACTGTTTTGGTTTTTTTTGCCACTTCTTACTGCAAATCTCCATTTGTGTTTGTTAATGGGATTCTGTATTGTGACAGTAATGAAGAATTTATACTGTTATGTTTTCAGTGGGCTAGAGATCACTAATTAACAATAAAAGAAATCTGAAGACCCCTGAATGCTCCCATCCCATAGAGGACTGTGACAGCCATAGTTTCTGTAGTTAGAAACTATGCAGCCATTTTTTCTGAGAGATGGCTTGCAAAAAATAATTAAGGAGATGAAGTGTTCAATATAATGTGATTTTTTTAAAACATTAGGAAGGAAAAACCAACCTGAAGAGCAGAATCCCCTGATGAATCCATCTCCCTACTTAGAATGTATTTCCTAAGCAGAGGCTGTCCAGGCTTCTCTTCTCATATTCACCCCCCTGGTGCCCTCAAAGTTTTCAAGCATCATTTAATCAAACCTCGTGACACTTCTAGTGAACCAGATAAATGTGGGCACCTCCCATTTTACAAGCTGTCACCGCAGCAGGTGAACTGATGCATTTACCAGCCAGTGTTTGCTGTGGGAGCAAAAGGGGTGTAGCATCATGCTACCTGGGGACCCCGGTCCACCTCCTCTCCCTCCTCAGGTGAGACCAGCTTTGCATCCCACCCTGGGGTCTTCTTCAGAGGACAAGTGATGAGGAGGTGCCTTTTCATATATAGGCTGCTGTGGAACCAGTACCGTACTGGTGTGTCTAACGGCCACTGTGTGTCTGTCCGTACCCCAAATACGGTACGTACAGGCACTTTTCTCCTATGTTGTGACAAAGAGGAAAGTTACCAAGGGCAGAAAAAGCTCTTTTGGGTTTTCAGCAACTTCAGTGATTTCACTGGGGAATGGTTTGTCCTCGAGGGGGTGTAGAAAGGTGAGAATCTCGGCACTGTCGGCTTCCTCTGCATCTACTGGACTGTGCATCATTTGTCTCCAGCTTGTCACTATTCCAAAAAAATCCTTGTCAGATGCACAGATGGGAACTTCTAATTGATGATGCAAGTTTTTAATTCATTCTTTTCAGCTCTAGAATGTGGCATGTTGGTTTGGGTACTACTTGTAGCATGTATATGGCAAATAGGGGATCTCTCTTATAAAAAGCTGAGTGAGGCCTTGGGAATTAGGAGTTCCTCTGCCCTAACAGCTCAGCTTTCTGTGCAGAGCAACTGGAACCTGACTCTCTGTCCTGCCTGTGGCAAAACTTCACTGTAGCAGTGGCTATTGGCAATCTGAATCACTTGTCGCTCTGTTGGGCTTAGATGCCATAGTAAGGCTGCTCTTGGATTCCAAAGCAGGTGGTCTGAGGCAGGCTTAAAAAAAAAAAAGAGAAAAGAGCAATAAAGATTGTAATGCATGCATAACATTATGTGATGCATTAATCATTGCAATGCGATCAATGTAACGGCACTTCTATATCTCAAATATTCCTATTGAATTTATATGAGTAAAGAAGAGGCTTGACTCTAATGGCTAATTAGTTCCTGTAAATGCACTGCTGATAAAGTTCTAGTAGGATGGCTGTGGTGCCCTGTGTGCTGTTGAAAATAGCAGTGAAAACTCGGGTGGAGGTCTTGTGGGTATGATCGTTTCCTTTGGGAGCTGGAAAGAGGAGAAGGAAATGCTCTCCAAGCCTACAAACCCAATTGTATTGCATTTAAATTATTAGCTTCTGTATTACAGTTCAATTAAACGTGGTTCTACCACTGCTCTCCAATATTCTCTTTCCCAGTTTGTGTCAAAGCAGAAGCAGACTGAGTTGGAAATGACATGCCTAAGAACTGGTGAGAGGACCCCTTGCGTTTCTTTTGATGCTTCTTTTATTATAGCTATTGCCCAGCTTGATAACAGAGTCATGATTTATTAACCTGAAAATAATGATCTGTCTTTGTTCAGCCAGCTGGGAAAAAAAAACCCAACAAAACCGAAAAAACAAACCCCACACCAAACTCCCAACCATTAGTCTGGCTCTGTTGAAAGGGACTTTTAGCAGCAAATGCCTATTTGCTTTCTGTATCACAGATAGCAAATGTACATCTTTACTTTCTCTATTCTCTTCTATTTTCAATTTTCTTCTCTTTCCAGTGGTTCTTCTATAGCACTTACAGGTCCAGGGTCCACAGTGGGTTTTTGCAGCACTCTGTTAATGGTGCTTGTCATTGCTCTGCCTCTGCAAATGGAGAAATGGGAAAACTCCAAGTACTATGCCAACGGGAGAGGATATACTCCCTTAAAAGTTACGTACTGTCACCTCTAACTCATTCTTTCTGGAAGGTATACAGAACAAATGATGCCCAAAAATGAGAATGCATGAATTCTTGGAGAGGCTTGGAGAAGTAATACACACGTTGAGGGATTTTTCACCTGAATTAATTTTGTGTCATCATTAATTTTAGCTGTCTCTTTGCAGAAGCCTCTTCCTAGAGAGTCCATAGCTGCCCTAAGACAAAATCTTTATTCATAGCATGTCTCTTCTAGGAAACTTGATATGAAGAAGGTTGAGGAGTCACTGCAAGTGAATGGGTATTTCCTTGATGATCTCAGGAAATGATATTGAAGGACATCCTACAGTTGTTGTACACAGGCCATTATTGGTTGTTACTGTTATTGTAATTGTTATGGGGGTGGAGGGGGAAGAGAAAAAACCTTGAAGAATGACTGATCCCAGTCAGTTATATAGTGTGAAGAGATGGTACCTCCATGTGTCCATACATCACTGTGGTTTCTGTTGTCTTCATTCCCACTTATGCAGCTGTAGCTGCCATTAGCCATAACGTTAGCAGCACTGAAAGGGAGAAAACCCCTTGATGAACTCTGAGCTCTCATCTGTGTGATAAAAATAAATGTGTGTTTCCAAATTACTCTGAATGTTTCAGTGTACATGTATGTTTCTGTGCTAAGCATGTTCAACTACAAACCTTACTTCAAAACCTGTATTCCTTGGGCTATGTTTTAAAGTTAATACCTACAGAATCTTTCCACAAGAGATAATTCACATTGTTCTTATACGCTTGTGTATTTTCAAATATCTAGGGGCTTGTCTGCAGAAGGAAAATGAGGAAGTTGAGGTTAAATCCAATAAATTTAAATTATTTAAGTGAGATTAAGCTGCTGCCAGGAGAAATGAGAGTTATTTCCACAGGGTTTTAATATTCTTTAATTTGTAGAATACGGTAATAGAAAATAAAGGATTTTTGAGAGGATGTCTACTCTATTCCCCTGCTTGAAGGCAGGATCAACTATTTGCATTGACTTCACTTAGGCTGAGTCTTCTTGCTTCTCTCAAGTCTCTTGTTGTAGAGTCTTGCTGAGAGCAAGCAGGTTTCCACAAGATGAGTTTATCACACTAAACTTGCCTGATCCATGATTTACACTGCTATTATGTTTAAATGTGTCTGGGTCAACTTTCCTGTACTTTGTGGCTTTTCTTTGCAGAGAAACAAATTCATCATGGTTTTGTCTATGCATTTTGCTTTTGTTCCTTTAGTCTCTAACAAAACAAATGACTTGAGGGCAGGCTGGAGCCATCAGGTGTCACTTGGTATTATCTGGAGGGAGGATAGGTTACAACATTTTCCAATCGAACGTTCTGGTTTTTTTGGTATGTGAGTCTGGCTGATATTACCAGGGGAGGAAGGGGAGGCGATTTCCATTGATTGAAAAGAAAATTAATAGACCTTGAAGAATGAATGACAGGTGATACTGACTGTCAGTCAGTCTGGGGGGGTTCACTTCACCAGCAACACTAAGTCCGGCTTTGTTGATCCTGATGCTTTTCCCACCAGTTACCCATTCAGTAGTCTTCTACTTGCCCAATTAGCCATCCATACCCGCTTCTTGCCTAGACTTTTGCACCTGTATTCTTTCTCATCTGACATGATCTCTAGGAAGATTTTTAATCTCACTTATGAGGTCCTAGCAGTGTACAAAAGGATGCAGTTACCTCGTACTATATGGGTGATCAGGTTCCAGGAACGCTTCCTCCATGCAAATAAAAGTGACAAAAATAGTTCTTATTTTTGCATGAAAAAAAAACCAAAAGCATTTGGTTTGACTCTGCATATGTCCAAGTAGGATAAATGCTACACACAATGGAGAGAAAAAGAAAAATTGTATGTTTTATAAAGAAATGCTGACAGATGTGGTAGAAGTTACGAAAGGACCAATGTTCTCCCAAGCCTGTGTCACTCTGCAGTTTGTTATCGTATGCTGCCAGACTCTGTCAGGTACTTACAGCATCCACTGCAGCTGCAAATAAAAAATTTTTAGTGCTTTGAACTTGCCAAGGGTCAGCTGAAAGCAGTTCAGCTCAAATGTCTCAGTAACGGTGGTATAGCATGTATAGGAACAATCTGTAGCTCCGCTCACCCTCAAACTTCCATGTTCCCATGTGACAAGGGGATGTAGTACATGCTGCTCTAGAATGACAATAATAATAGAAAAAAGAAGCCCACCAAGCAGAACTTGCTGACTCAATGCCTACCCTCAGCTCTTGCAATAAAACAAGTATAGTTGGGTTTTTTTAACTGTAATTTTACTACCACGAAGCGCAAAAGAGGCTTTACAGGGAAACGCTCATGTAAGGAAAGATGTAGCTGTTAAACAAAAGCATTAATTTAATCATGGTGTCTTATGAGTGTTAAGGGCACACACACTCCATCTTTCCCTCTATCCCGCTTCTATATATTTTTACTCCAGGCCATTCTTCTCTTCAAATTGAGTATTTTCTCCAGAGTTGGTTTAATGATTCAACACGTTGTCTATAGTACACTATGTTAATGTGGAAGCTGTTGTTTGCATCCATTTTTCTGCAGCTGTTGATATTTACTTTGATTTCTTTGGTATATGCATGTAACTTTTCATGCATTCTGTATGTTTTTGTCTTTCAATTAAAATTCTTTTTCTTCTGTTTCTTGAAGTATCTGAGAAGAGATTTGGATACTGATAGACCTTTTCCTAGCAAAGCTGGAAACAAGCAGAAGTTCTTGAAGAGACACAACACAAACCTCTTACCTTTATTACTGTTATCACTAATATGCTTGACTTGAGCTCTTGCTGCCCTTCCAGTTTTGTTTTATTTTGTAAATATCTGAGCTTGAGAGCCTGCTGTTCTCTTTCTTTGCAGATGCCAGTGTATTATTACCCATCTGGTCAGTACCCTACCTCAACAACTCAGCAGTACAGACCCATTGCCTCGGTTCAGTACAATGCACAGCGGAGTCAACAGATCCCACAAACTGCACAGCAAGCAGGTATTTCCATCTGGTACTTATTTCTTCAACTGCTTGCAGGGCCTTTGCTGGTGAAATCTGTTGGTTGTGGGTGAATTTTGAATTTGAACAGCACAGGAGAAAGCTGGTCGCTGCTCTCTTTGAAAATACAGTGAAAATGACGAATTGAGAAGCATGGAGATATGGAGCAATGGAAGAACAGAGGTTGTGTTCTCCACCACTGCTGTCCTGCACATGGTGCTGTGTCCTCAGGGTCCACACTCCACATGACAGGGCACAGAGAGAGCCAGGAGGGAACTGGTGTTGAGTGGTCACGTTGCATGTTCAAGCCAACATGTCTTTCATCATGCAAACTCCCCAGGTGTTTGTAGGACTGTATATGGTGGACAGTGTGATGCAGAAGGGGCCGGTTGTGCTCCATCACGCCCTTCTGCTCTCCCTGAGCCCAAGGAATGGCAAGGTGGTCTGTGTGCCCATCAGGACCAGCTCCCCGTAGCGACGTGCAGCTGGAAGGGGGGCCGTTACACTGTAAGAGAGTGAGTAGCAGGTCTCACAGTGAACCGGTCTCTTTTCCTGCTGTGTCACACCACTCCTGATGGCACCAGAGGAAGAGGGACATAGACTTGAGTTTGGGGGAGGCAGGGGTTGTGCTCATTAAAGGGTCGTCACATTTCAAGGGAATAAACAGTTCTGCTGTTTTGGGAGATGTTAAGTTGTTGATTGTGTGTTTCTTTAGTGCACACCTCATAGGGTGTCTCAAACCGTAACTCCAAGATGGGCTTGCAGTTACAGACGTGCAGGTAGGACAAAGCATTCATCTTGCTCTCTGGGTTTGGCGGAAACCCTTCTGAACGGCAAAGCAGGTTCCCTGCAAAGGCATTGATACAAAGGCCTTTTAAGAGGCAAGTCAAGAGCCCAGATGTGAGACATGAACAGGACTTACTGGTTCTTCCAGCCTGTCAACCTGTCTCTGTAAGGTGACTGCTGGTAATTTTGTTCGCACTCTCTCGGGCGCTCAGGGAAACAAAGACACAGCAAGCACAGCTAGAACTGAGTAACTGGTTACTTTTTTTTTTTTTTTAAGCTGTTCTATGCTATAATAAAATCAGTGTTGTCTTGGTCAGTGTCACGGTGGCTGGCTGTATCTGCTTTCATAACTTTGCATTTATATATTCCTGAGAGAGAAAGGGGTGAGATATTGCATAAAGGTCATCTGTCTCTTCTGGCTTCTCCTGCCTGACCGTCTGGTACTGTATTTATTATCTCTATATGGTGGGTCTTTGAACCTGAGTGCAGATCAACTTAGATGATATTATCTGGGTCTCCTGTGTTGTTATAAAACCATATCTATCAGTTTAATGCCACATCTATAGCATAGTGGAGATTATGGTAAATGAAGTGCATAAGAGATGGTCTGAAACACTTAAGGGATGTTCTGGAGAAGGTCCAGCTATTTGATCTTGAGGACATCCTAGTTTAAATAAAAATATGTTGTAGCACAGGAGCTGTTCTGTTTGAGTACAGACAGTGCAGAGATGCAAATGCTGATTTTGTTTCTTTGTTTACTGTGTCATTTTCCATACATGTTTGGAAAACATGACTCAAGGAGTTTGTGTAAAACCTCTAGCACATCAGTCTTTGCCTTTTAATTCACTCTTTCAGCTGCCTGCTCGGCTGGAAACATTATTCTTATCTCTTTAAAAATGAAAACATTGTGACTGCAGCTTAGACTCCCTGCTGTGGCAGTGAATTTGAAGCATTTAGCTATTCTCAGAGCTTGAGACTTGGCTGAGAACAGATTCCTCGAGGTGGTTCATCCCTTCGGACTCACATCCATCCTGTCCGAGGGTGTGCTAGGCATGCCAGGAAGCAGCTTAGAGTTTCCTACAGATCTTTTATTGGAGATGGTGTAAGGATCATGTGAATTTATGTTCCACTGCATTCCTTGGCATTTGGAAAATAACTAGCTTTCCAAAATGTCACATTATTTGTACTCATATAAAAGAGAAATTAAAGTATAGGAAAGTATTTTATTTATTATTTATTTATTATGCTGCAGATTTATTGCAGGAGTTCACTGTGAGCACTGAGACACTAAAAAACCAACTGATTCAGTGACGGTTTCATGCCCAGTGTCACTGCGTCTGCTTTTCTTCCCATCAGCCTGCCCACACATGTACATTTTTGCTCCTCGTGTGGCCTCAGCCCACCTGCAGAATCCTCATCTCTTTTGGCAGCTCTTCAATGTCCGGTAGCTGTTTGCTGGTCAGGAGACTGACACCACAGCAAGGTGACTGGTGGCACCTAAACGGAGCAAATGACTGCAAGCTCGTAACGCAGCTTTTTGACGGGAAGGAGGTGAGCTGGGGTGCTCCTTGCCTCTTTTCAAGCCACTTTAGAAATGTCGTGTGTTTGCAGCTTCCATCTCTCTGTCAACTGCGAAAGAAATTAGATTGAAAGCTCAAAAAGATACTCTGAGGGTTATTTGAGGGAAAACTGGCAGAGTAATGATGCTCATTTTTCCTTCAGAAACCAGTTTTAAAAAAACAAACCACAAAAACACCAAAAAACCCCGTTTAAATCTTTCTAGAAACTTGTACACTACTGAAAAAAACAATCAACATACAAGCGTTTCCAATTGCAGTTTCCCTTCCCGTGCAGACATAGCTTCAGGTGAGCAGGCTGGGCAGGAACACGAAGACATGAAGGAGAATAGCGCAGGTTAGGAATATGGGGGATGGAAAGGTTGGAACAGATGGGGAAGGAAGCGGATGAAAAGTTGATTTCTGAAATGTTTTCCCTAAAGACCTCGCAACCCTTGCTGCTGCTTTGGAGAGAGGATGGCTGCAGGCTGGCTGCTGGTACCTGCCACCTGGCTTGTACAGCAGTGGGAACAGGGCGGCAGCCCAGAAAATATTAAAAGGAAAAAGTTTGCCTGCTTAGAGGAGGTTTTTGGAAGCTTTCAAAGCAGCAGCCAGGAGTTCAGGTCTTCCTTTCCCCCCACGTCAGGCTGCAGAGGTCAAAGTTTGATCTAATGCAAGCAATTTGTTTTCATTTTTCTTAGAAAAGGTCTCCTCGGGAGCAGAGCGATATTGATGACTTTTCCAGCAAACAGCTAAAGTAAAATGTCAGCACAGCAGCTGTGGTGGCTCAGGGAGCTTGTGCTCTCTCGTGGCTCTGGAAGGAGAGCAATATTGAGTTAAAATGGCTCCAGAACAGAAAAAAAAAGATGAGCTCACCTAAAATTAGATTAGAGCTCTGGCAGCAATAAATCATTTGGAGAAAAGGAAGATAACTTTTTTTGTGTGTTTATTTAACTTGTTTGTTCTTACTTTTTTTTCCTTAAGTGTTGGTTTCTGTGAGAACGTAAGTGACCCATTTCTGGCAGAAGCCTGGTACAAAGAGTTGTCCATGAAAATTTTATAAAAAACCTCTGCTGTTTGAATTACATTTGTTTCTTTTCAAGCCAAAATGTCTTATTTCACAGCATGAAAGCACGGTCTGTAAACAGAAATACTTGTATTTCAGTCAGATACATAGTATTGTTGCTCTTCTTCATTATCTTCATCCTTGTGTCCACCCCCACGCAATTCAAGGTTTTTCGAAGCGTTGCCATTGACTGAGCGGGGACAGGGTCAAGCCGGTGTCTGTCACACCGTGGCATGCGTAGAATGCGGTAGGTGAGTTATTAGGATGTGTTCAGGCAGCCGTTCTCAAAAACAGTGAGCTCATTTTTCAAACTGCTTGGTTCTGTTGCTGTTAACTCATTTCTGCAGTCCATACCAGATGATACTTAAGATACTGGGAAATGCTCAGTTCTGTAAGCACACAGAAGAAAATACTGGTTTTGCGTTCTCATCTAGCAGTGCTCTATAAATTTAATGTCTGGCATCATCAGTATTTCGTTCTTCAGTAATTATCTCTATATTAGTAGTGTCAAAAGCTTTCAATCCTGGTTGTGTTTGAATAGAAAAATAGAGATACATTGGTGATAAATCAGTAACGATTCGTGTTTTATCATGGTAGAAAAAATCAGCAATGTGTTATTTTATATCTGTGTTTCTTTATTTGCTTTCATTAGAGCAAGTGCTGTGCGCTTTGAGGATTTTTCATCTTTAAAGTGCTTCATAAATGCGAGCTGTATAAGTACACGAGTATTACTTTGGGATAAGCAACTGTTCTTATTGGCGCTTACAAATTAACAATCTGCAACAAATTACATGATTTTTTTCCTGCTTTGGTTCATTGTTGTATGTCTGCCTCATGCATTCCAGATAATTTCATAGCACAACAGCAATTCTATGGATAAAATAATATTTAGATTCTCGCTTGGGCCGTAGTTCTAAAAGGCAGTGAGCTTGGTTGATCACACAGTTCTAGGGTAAAAAGCTGTGGCGTGTGTTCAGCATCAGTAATGAAGACCATCTTTTGAGGAGATGAAAGCTAAGACCTATAGTATTAGGTTGAAAAAATTTTCCAGTCAAAAGTTTACACTATAGTATTTCTAAAGAAATTAAGATGGTATTTGGCAAAATTGGATGGTCTTTAATTCCTGCAATTAATGTGATGATTTGAGGATTTCTCATATATTCGAGAATCAACAAGTGTTGGCATTAGAACTTGTTTCCGTGCCTGGATAGCACGGGAAGGCTCAGCTTGTATGGGAAATGTCTGCTTTTTGCTAAAAGCAGAATAATTGGTGGTTCCTTTGGCAAAAGGAAGTTGTTGTGTAAGGAAAGAATATATCTGAACACTGCTTGAATGCAGAGTCCTTTCTTAATGAGTATACATGGAGATTCTGTAAACAGCAAATGTTTGTCTTGAAGGAAAGATGATGGAGTGCTGCATTATTAGTCTTTACAGCTCCCAGTAAGGATAAAGAGGTAATCGTCTCTTTAATGCATCTCTGAAACAAATTTTAAGTGAAGACAAAATGTGCCTTAACAGAGTCCATAAATTTGTTTAGGTAGAAAACAGAGTCAAATTGACAATGAAATACTGAATTTTTTCTTAATTTAATC